GGTATCGGCTGATACTGCACAGCCTGGTATTGGTATCGGGGCCAAAAAATGGCATCGGTGCAACACTAGCTATGACGTAATCGGCCTTTGAATATGGACTTCCGAGGATGCAGCCCATGAATTTGAATTCTGACTTTGAATCAGTCTGACTGGAAGATCTGATTGAATGGTTTCTATAAAGTGCCTTGACATGACACGTGTTGTGAATTGGCACTATAGAAATAAACTGAATTGAAATTAAATTAATGGAGAGAGTAGTGGCTAAAGCTGACATGTAGGGAGGTTCCACTAAGAGTCATTCCTCTTAGTGGAACAATAGCTTATTCAACTATTGTCACCCATTCCAGGTAGGCAATAAAAAGTTCTACTGGATTCACTTTGTTTTAGTCTTTTTTCCTGCTTCACAAAGGAAGGCAGCAGCTTGACAAAGCCATGGTGGCAATTATTTTACATCCAAGTAGTATAAAGTTCTTCATATATACACACACACATCAATTTCAAACAGATGGTATTGGTACCGGCCAATACTTCACAGCCAGGTATCGGGTATTGGTATCAGGGCCAAAAATGGCATTGGTGCAACACAAGTTTCCAGTATATCTGCTTAGCAATGTGATGAACTTTGACGTCTGTCGTTATTTCCTGCATCTGGAAGCCCAGAATAGACTATCGTTTGTCGTATCCACTTCCCAAAACCTGACTCTGTCAAGTAAATTCACCAAAGGCTGCCTTTTTCGCCTGACTCTCTGCAAAATTCCTCTACCTCTAGAGGACAGTAGTACCGTAGATCACCTCTAGGGGGCGAGGAACCGTGCAAGATGTAAACGGTCATAAGGAACCAAGGGTTTCAGAGGGTAAATGGGGATAATGGGTCATGCACATGAGTTCAGTGGGAATCAATAGAATGCTCTGCGATCAATTAATCCAACCGGGAATGACTTAATATTATAATTAATTTGTCACTAGTTGATCTTTATCAGATTATTTGAGGAACTACCAACTTTATATCCCTAAATGAATTAGGTTTTCCTGTGGTGTTATGCATGCAAAGATTGTGCTACAGAACAATTGTGATGTGTTTCCTAAAGCATTGAACAGAGTCTAAGTTTGGCAGTTACCCAAAAGCATTGTGCCAGATTTAGAGGAGTAATGACTTTTCTGCCCTGGTTTTCTGGGAAACGCTGGGCATTGTACTTCCAGTGAACTCCTAAGGCTTTCAGAATACCAAAATATTTTTGACAACTTCATGGACTTGCTTTGCTGTGAACAACTTAATATTGAAAATGAACCAGAGCACAAATAGTGATACATTTGAAGAAGTTTGGTTTGAAGGAAATTGCCTGCCCTGTAGAAATTCCTGACCTTAAACTAGTGGAACCTTCAGGGTGAATTAGAAGGCTGCAGGCTACATTTTCTCATCCAATGTCCGTGTCTGACCTGAGAAATGCTTCACAAATGTTCTGGGAGAACATTGAAATATTCCCATGAACTCATTGCTAAACCTTGTGAACAGACTAGCCAGAGAAGTTAAATCAGCCATAGCTGTGAAGGTGGGCAGACCAAGCATATTCATGAAGGAACGGGATGTCAATAAAGTTCATGCATGTTTGAATGTGGGCCTCTTTAGCAGTAAAGAGTTATCTTCCTTTTTTTGGCTTGTTGTCCGTCTTTTTTCCATGCTTTATTTTTTCTCCATCTCTATTTTTCTTTTTTTTTAGTCTCTATTCCCTTAGATACCCCTGTGACCTTAACTTCTTCACACCTCCTCCTCCGTCTGTCATAGTCCCTCCTTTTTCTATCTCCTTTTCCCTCTTGTCAGCTTGCAGTATTTCCTTTGCCACTGTTTATCCATTTTTCTCTGTTTGCTCTGACGAGATTGACCATATATATATATATATATATATATATACACACATACACCAAGGCACACGTGCACATACCTAAACAGAAGACAAGGCCGGCATCTCTCCGGGGTGCAGTTAGCGTGGGGCTGTGGATCGATCCAGGCTCTGGTTTCTGCGATGCAAAGCTCCAAGGTGGAGCAGCTCGGACAAAAATCACCGGTCGGCGTCTGTTCCTTTCCAGAATTTCTCCACAGAGCAAGCAGGACACAGAGAGCAGCATTTGCAGATACAAAAGTGATTTATGTGTTTCATTTTGATGCAGGACGAGCAAGCAAGTAAGCCATCAAATACACCCAACTGTTACGGGTCCTAAATTATGTCAGCATTGATTCTCCTCCCTTTCTTTTCGACCCGGTACCTTTTTCCTTGATGTTAGTCTTCAGCACAGAAGTCTGTGAGTGTGGCACTTTGCAAGTTTTGACTTTTAGTTTGTCATTTCTGTCAATATTCAGCAAAAGCACAGAGAATGCTGTCGATATATTTTGAAAGTATCAATGAACAACACTCAGCAATCTTCTTGTTTTGCTCGGTAAAAAAATCTTTTATAGAAAAAGTCAAAGGGGTTCCAGATGAGTTCATTATTGGCAAAAGGAACGTTAAAACATTTTTTAACTTTATAGTAAATATTGAAGGTTTACCAGAACCCAGGACTATAATTTAAACTTTAGAATCAGCAGAAGATGGAAGTTGGAAAGTCTTTGGTCGACTACCTAATTAGTGGCTCTAATAACCCGAGTCCTTTAGTGGTTTCGCTGGACTCAGTGGCCTCATTCTTACCATATTGTTGATTGATTGAGCTGCAAATATGGCAGCCATAATTATTCTATATTTTGAGCTGTCTCTAAATAGAATTTATTAGATTTGTCTTTGTCCTTGATTTCAAACCTTTGGAGAGTAGTGGGAATTGTCTTCATCCTTCTCTCCTCCCTCTGGTGGATGGGACAACCTGATTGTGTCCATGCATCCCATGGCTCCAACTATTTAAAGACTTGACTGTTAACTTTCTTTCGACTTAGCCACGTAGAGGACAATCAAACAATAAATGTAGGCCCTAGTGAACAACCGTTCATGGTGAAATGGGACTTTATGAAATTTGACAAAGGAAACAACCCATACTTGTACTAACAAGAAAAATCGAATGAAATTCGTGTTTGTGAGTTTTTCCCCTTTTTTTTTTGTCTTTTTAATTTGTAAATGTGGTCTCACCCCGCAAGACTTTATTAAAATTAGGGTCCCACTAAACAGCATGTTTCCCTATGGCTTATTGACATGTTCAGTGTACTGTATATGGACACCGTTACGTGTGTCCTGTTGTGTCCTGCACAGACAGACGGATAGTTAAGGAGAGTTGGGAGTGGACTTCTGTTAGCTGTGGTTTTTCTGTTGATCACACTCAATGAAATAGCAGCCACTTTGGGGAAGATTGGCAGAGATGGCAAAAGTACTCACTTTCCGTACTTGAGTAAAAGTACAGATACTTTTGTTGAAAAATACTCTGGTAAAAGTGGAAGTACTGATTAAACTTCTTTACTCAAGTAAAAGTAACAAAGTACAGGCTTGTAAATTTACTTAAAGTATAAAAGTAAAAGTAGAAACCACTTTTTTCATGCCGTTGCCTACATTTTAAATGGATGTCTGCCAATAGGACTAGATCTCCGTTGTGTTCATTTTCAATCATCTGGTCGTCCATGCTACTATGCTAACGCCACCGCCACCAAGCTGCAATGATTTGCCGCCAATGAATACCGCCGAATCTGTGGATTCATCTTGTAGTGGTGCGTCAAATGCAACGTAGATTCCCATCCAATTAGATTGAATCTGGTATTGATGACGTGAAAAATAATAACGGTAACTCCATTGAAATGATTCAAAACTAAAGTAACGAGCCAATTTTTTAAAATGTAAGGAGTAGAAAGTACAGATATTTGTGTAAAAATGTAAGGAGTAGAAGTAAAAAGTTGCCATAAAAATAAGTAGTAAAGTAAAGTAAAAATATCAGAAAAATCTACTTGAGTACAGTAACGAAGTATTTGTACTTCGTTACTTCCCATCTCTGAAGATTGGTCATCTGTTTTGCTAGGCCAAAATAAGCGTTTTGGAGAAAAATAATTTACTAATATAATTCTGTTTATGGTTTTAACAGGGAACTAAATGCGAAGAGGAAAAATGTAGTGACAGCAGACCAGTTCATAAGTCGCTAATGCTTAGTAGAAAACATGATTGGATGGCAGAACCAGTGTTTATCTTTAATTTAATTCATTTGATTTATATCGCACCATTTCACAACACATCAAGCCACTTTACAGTGCACCGGATCATACGATGAGAAAAAGCACAGAGAGCAGAATGTTAGAGATTGATCTAAGAGATGCTGCAGGGTGGGAGAATAAAGATAGATTGAAGCAGAATGAGGGGTCCCTATGTCCTCCAGCAGTCTAATCCTATAGCAGCATAAGGGGGTAAGAACCCCCAGTAATTTTGCTTTTTTTTTTTTTTACGTTATGAAAAAACTAAGGACTGTGCTATTTTTTTTTTCCTTAAAATATAGAATATGATCATAAAAATTTTCTGAAAACATGAATGACATTGGTTTGGCACTTGCTCAGCAGAGAGTTTTCCATCAGCCTTCACAGGTTTCTGTGTTTGAATTGAACCGGCTTCATACTCCTGTTATAAAGATCCAGGAGAAGCACGATTTTTGCCTACAGGTTTACTGAATGGCTTATCTAATAAAGGCTGCGGTGTAATTCCTGTTACTACATTTCATTTTCTGTAGTAGATCCAGCAATGCAAGAAGGCGTGCTTCGAGTTCACATTTAAATGACTTATCGTTTGCAAAAGGCAATTAGTGCATCTCTTCAAAACTGATTCATCATTTAAATTGAATTAAACAGAAGTTTCTCTTAGTTTAGTTTCCTCTTTGGCATTAGAAAGATGCCATCTTTATGGCTAAAAAGTTATTTTGGTAGTTTTTGCTACATTTACCCGCTGAAAGCTTCTGCCCATTACTCATGGAAAATGTACCGACCCTCATTTCATTGTCAGCCATCTGTTCTGTCTAACATATTCCTCTCTTCCTCTCCCTCCATCTTCCAGGTCGCCCACTCCCTCCAACCTCCTCCTCCACCCTGCTCCCGCCGTCCCTTCCGTCGTCCTCGTCTGCCCCTCACCACCCCTCCCCTGGTCCGTCCCCCCCCATCAGGGAATGCCAGGTTCCTCTGCTGGAGAAAAACTCCACCCACTCTCACCTGGAGCCCCACCGAGATGACTCGTACCTGCTACGGGCTCAGTCCTCCTCCTCGGGTAAGCGTGTGCTCATTCCAGCTACATTTTTATCTCTTCATACGTCTCGTCTTTGTTTTCATATCTTATCCAAATCCTGGTCCCTATTTAATCCCCTGACCTTGAACTGCTCAAATTTGTTTGTTCTGTTTTCTTATTTAGTCCTGGTGCTAGCATAGATTTCAAATTCTTTAAACAAAACAGTGCAACACAAAAAAGAACTTAAAAATAGTAAAGAAATCTCCAAATAACTTTATTTACCCTTAATTTGAGTGGATAAATAACATGATCTGCTGATGGAATGAGTATGTTAACCCTTAAAATAACATTGCAAACGCACTGCAAAAATGTAAATGTAATCTAAGACTATTTAGTGTGTAATATCTAATTATTTTTTAATGTAAATTGTCTTATTCCATTGGCAAAGTATTTCACTCACCCGCTCAATTCAATGAAAAATGCGCTTAATTTAAGAAAAAAATCTATTTGTTGCAGTGTGTTTGCAATATTTAGATGAATGAATGCCTGGGATCACATATAAGTTGCAACTTTTCATTCAAGAAATCCTCAGAGCAACATTCGAGCCAAAAAAAGCAGAGGAGAAAATGTGTCACAGTTGAATTGTTGTGTAATGTAGATCCAAGCAGGAGCAGAGGAACAGTTTAGTCAGGAGAGGAGGACATTTGTTTGAGAGCTGTTAAATATAACAGCAGGAATGAAACTTTAATACACATGAAATGCTTTTTTAAGTTTGAATGGGAGATGTATGAAACTGGAGTGAAAAAAATAAGGAATTTGAAGTTCACTTGAAAATATGCACTATGAAGCCGTATTTCACTGAAACAATATATAGAATAACTTCGTAAAGATATATGCTAAGAACAGTAAGGATGAAAAAAATCAAACAATGTGAGTAAATATAATAACAGTTCTTAGTTCATTCCATTAGGATTTGACTCTTTGCTTCCACCAACTGCAATTAAACAACCAATCTTTTAACATCCATGCTTTTTCTTTTATTTTTTATAGTAAAAGGGGCCCCATCTGTTCAGGTACTTTTTTCTCAAAAGCAAACTTTGCACAAAAATCTGCTTCAATTAACATAATAAACTTGTTTAAATGAAGAAATCAGTTCCAAAAAATTATAACAACCCATTTTATGTATTTATTTTATTTTATTTTTTTATTTTTTGCTTAAAATGGGGAATCTTTTGTCTATTTTTTTTAGTTTTAAATAAAGCCCAAAAGGAATTTGTAAACTGGATGCCTTTCTTTGGATAACAGCAAACATGCAAAACCTTTTAGATTTAAAAAGCAGATTTATAAAGTTTTAAATCTACTGTAATATTCAGATTCCTTTTAAATGCACGTTTCACACTTTTAAGTTTTTAGATAAAATATGGCATGCTTGGCTTATTTTTGGGAAAATAGGAAGAAAAAAAAAAGTATGTTTTTTTTAATTCTGGTTTTTCATCGAATTTCTTTTTGTCTGCCCTGCAAATACTATTGAGTTGTTGATTGAAACCCGAATAGCAAAGATAGTAGAAATCAACTATGATTAAAAAAAAAAGCACCGTCCACAAAAAAACTAATCAGAATAAATAAAACTGTATTTTTCCAGATTATTCCAGATGGTTAACTTAAGTCATGATGTGTCTCACATGACAGATCTGAACAGAAACCGCCTGACTTTTGAAGGTATTGCCTTTAAAATATTCCCTTGCTGCTTTTTTAAACTATCACCAAAAAATATAATGATGCAATGGAAAGCAACCCTAATGCACCGCAGAGTTACACAGACACCAATGAGCTGCTCTGCTTGTTCTTATTTCACATGTGAAATTAATAATCCATCAGTAGGTGAAAGGTAAAGGGGATGATAAAATTCTAAGTGGCAGCAGGAGGATAAGAGTTGCAGAGACAAACTAGTTATTTTCTCTGACTCTGTGTTCTTCATCACTAGATTCAATTCAATTCTATTCAGTTTATTTCTATAGCTCCAATTCACATCATGTCATCTCAGTTCACTTTCCAGTTCACCAGATCATCCAGTCAGATTGATTCAAAGTTTTCTATCTAAGGAAAACCAGCTGATTGCATCGACTCATTGACTCTTCAGCAATCCCTCACACTAAGCATGCTTGTAGCGACAGTGGAGAGGAAAAACTCAATTTTAACAGGAAGAAACCTCCAGCAGAACCAGGCTCAGTGTGAGCGGCCATCTGCTGAGGCCCACTGGGGTTCAAAGAGACAGAAGCAGACATAGAAAAAGAAGCATAGATACAAAAGGCAACTGTCAACCAGCTCCACAGGCGGCCCCGTCCAGGAAACACACAGCCAGGCAGACGAGCTCCGAGCCAGCTCCCATGTCAGAGGATGAAGAGAGCACATCCAGTTAGTCACAGTCAGAGAAACAGGACTACACTGGAAAACAGGCCAAGCTCCAGCATCTAGAAACAAAGGTGTTGATGGCAGCAGCACAGCTGATATTTCTCTCCAGGATGGAGTCACAGCCAAACAGGAACAGACCAGATGAAGCTACTATGAGAAAAAGCAGAGAGAGCAGAACGTTAGAGATTGAACTAACAGATTCTGCAGAGTGGGAGAATAGAGATAGAATGAAGCAGAATGATGAAAAAGGGGTCCCTATGTCCTCCAGCAGTCTAAGCCTATAGCAGCAGAACTATAGAGATAGCTCAGGATAACCTGAGCCACTCTAACTAGAAGCTACTGGTTGTTCCAGCCCTCTAAATGTATGTCAGCTCTCTTTTCCAGCCTTGTACACCTAAAGACAGAAGAACATCTGCAGCGACGACTTTGTTCATCATTACGAGCATTTATCCTGAACAATTGTGGGCCAACTTTCGGTTCTCTGCCTCCCCTTCCCGCTCTTTGCCTCGTTTCTCCATTCCTCTGTGCATCTGCACTTGTAATCAGCAGATATATTTAGCAGAGGCCTGATGGGAGGGAGCAGGGTGGGCAGAGAAGTCGTAATGTGATTTTTGGTGGAATACAATCTATTGTTAATGGCGTTAGGCTCTCCTTTGATCCAGTATAAATCTTCATTAGGGAAGGCCCGGGTCCCAGGTTCAAGAGCAACGTGATTAGGAGGCTTTTAAAATGACGTTACATCAGCCTTCTAATTGGTTTACTGTTTGCTGGGGCAACATCAATCATTAGCCCAGTAACCGCACAGCAAATAAATTCACTCTGCCACTGACACCCTAATGGCAGACACTGGCAAAGTGGGAGAGTGAGGCTTGCAGGCCTCAATCTCTCTTCCTCTCATTCCTGTTCGCATACACCCACACTTTGTGTTCTGGGGCGCTTCTTTCAGCCTGCGCTGAGCATGTACGCACAGCCGGCAAGCAAGCAAAGAAAAAAAGCTTATAGAGAGGCAGGAAAAGGAGCCACAAAGAGGCAAATGGGAGCAGAGATAGAGAAAGTCAAAGTTTGACTTTTGAAGCTGTTTAATGAGACATCTCGCATGAAAAAAAAAAGCAAAGAGGGAGAGCGAGACGAGTAGCATCAAAGCACAGCAGCAAAGAATAGGCGGAGAAAGTGACTGAAAGGGAGATGCTTGCAAAGTCAAAGATGTTGAGAAGAAATGAAAAGAGGTAAACTGATGAGAGCTTAGAGAGTGAAGGAGCGATATTTGGTTGGAGGGAGAACAACATTAAGATGAAATTGCAAATTGCCACATTTCCCAGACAGGACTGCGGATCTAATGGGTGTGGAGAAAGTTCTTGGCTTTGGGCATCCATTAAAATCGACCCAAATGAGTTTAGAGTGGCGGTCTGGCACTGCATAAGCAGAGCCTGGCATGTAAGCAGGACGGGGGATGGGTGGTGCGAGAAAGGAAAAACACACACCTAGAAAACGGCGGCGGGATTTACACGTGCCGTGAAAGTGCATGCCTGTCTGAATGTGTGTGTTTGCTTAGACCAACAGAGAGGGGATGCTGGGCAGGAAATGAGCCTTACCAAGCCAGGCAGAAAGTGACCGCAGTGAGATAATCCTCAGGAAGGTGCATGCTGTTTGCATGTGTGTGTTCCTCTAAAGTGTTCCACCATTACCTAAACTAACAGGTGGACAGACCTGACTTGTGATGCCAGTGAAGCGTGTCGGGTGAACGGGAACGGAGTGATGTCGGCGGTGCGGACTGGAATCGGTCTGCGGATGTTTACGTGGGAATACTGTCTGACTCTGAGCACCTGTCTGTGGACAGCTCCCTCAGAACGCTGGTGCTGGTGGTTGGGGGGGGCAAGACTGCCAAACGGAGCGTAGCAGATCACTCCTGGAAAGAGCTAGCGTTAGCACCGTCTCTGGCCATTCATTATGCATGGGGAACATGTAGCTATTTTTAACTCGATGCCTCTTTTGAAGTGGCGAGCTTTCTGGCTGCCAGGGAAGCCACCTCAAGTCGCTGCAGAGGCAATGAATGTTTAATGGCTTTGTTGAAACAAATCTGCAGAAACAAAGGCAAAACAAAGACGCATTCCTCTCCTTCCATGCCAAATGGTGTTCTTCTTAATGGGGCTTATGTAAGGTTGACATTTGCGTAACGGTGGGATGTGTGGAATTGCATGCATGTGCGTGTCCGGGGGCGGTATGCACACATGCATTTCCGCCAATGGAGTGTTTGTTTTGTTTTTTTGCTGAATTTGATGACTCTTCTCTAGCGGATTATTGCCTCCTAATTAGACAGAGATGGCTAGCCAAGGCAGAGGCAGTGTGTATGTGTATGTGTGTATATTTATAAATGTATGTATTTGACTCTATCTTCCGTTTAATGCCTGTATATGTTATGTGTATATGTATCACGTACAAGTTTCTGAGTTTTCACCTCAAGTTCTCCTTCCCTGCTCATCCTCTGAGCTCTGAGAAGAATGACAAATGAGGAGTGTGTGACATTCTCTGACAGAGGACACGGGAAGCAGTGGCACATGGGAATATACCACCTTTAAACACACGCTGCATAGCAAAAAGTAGGGAGAGAAGGCGCATGACGGAAACAATGA